TTTTCTTATTTTAAGTGTAAATTGTCTTGTTCCATTGGCAAAATGTCTCTTTTACCTCCTCAATTCAAGAACAAATGCACTTATTTTAAGAAAAAATTACTTATCTAGATTTAGATTTTTTGCAGTGTAGCAGGCAAAGGAAAGATCTATGGAGGACGACCAAACATTGGTAAAACTGTGGTTTGTTGGAGTGATAGTAAACGCAGGCAGAGCGGAAAGAAACTGTAAAGACGGATTGTGATTTATTTATAAAAGCTGCAGTCCTTTCATTCCATCCACTACAGTGCCAGTAACAGTACAAAACAAAGACAGACAAAGATTTGAAACCCACTGCGTCTTCCAAGACAAAATTATCTCTGCAAACTCACAATTTATGAATTTGTGTTTTGATTTTGAAAGCAATCGAGGGAAATTAAACTGTTTCTCCCATGAACTCTGGTAATCAGCTTAAGTGATTACATCGGTTGTAAATATGAGATGATGAAAGCTCAGTGTTCAGAGTGTGTGGTGCCCTGAGGAAAGGCTAAATGGGAGTTTTCAGGGTGGATATGATGGACAATCTAACCAAAACTGTATCTGATGCAAGAGGAAGGGGTTTATGTGGGGAATGGTTGCCCTCTAGCTGTCAACAATGAGAGCGGGTCATGAAATATGATTCTGCTGAGGTGAGTTTATGAAGTGACATCAGTTAATTTGCTGGAGCCTGACCTTAGGCTTGATTTATAATAACAAGACTGTTGAGGGAGGAATATAATTGGAAGACATCAGCCTCTACTGATGATGTGTTGGCTCATAAAAGTCGAAACTTGTCAACATCTTCTGAATAAGTGCAATAAGAAGCAGCTATAAATCTCCAAGCCGGGGGAGAGTTTAGTGCAAGTATAGAAAAAAACTGTGGAGCAAGGACTTTACACAGTGTGTAGAGGCCTCTAAAGAAGCACCGATGGAGGTTGCAAACACAATTTCAAGTTACGAAACTCTCTGGTAAAATGTTTAAACAGTAAGATTTGGGGTTTTTTATTTTTATTTTTTCAGGCTTAGACAAGTGTGGCAACGATATAAAACAAAACTCTTTTTAAATCAACGTTGACTTTTGTTATCAGTTAACCTGAGATCCATGTTTTGTTTGATTGGCCTTAACCTTAATATTTACCAGTCCTGCTATGTACAATTACACAGTTTAATCTGTAAGCTGGTAAGTTTTTTTTAGAGATCTTAAAGAGCTAACCACAGATCTTTAGTGGATGTAGGCTTCCTCAGATCCTTCTGCATCCTCGTCTAATCGCAGACAGATGTAGTAATGTTAAGATCTGAGCTCTATATGGGCCATACCATCACCTCCACGACTGCTCCAGATGGCTCTTAGTGACATTGGTGTTAGTTTTAAAGTTTTATATCTACATTTTCATGTCGATCTTCTCTGCAGTAGTTTCAGTTCTAAGAGATAGATAGGTTTTAATATAATTGTTAAATATTAAAGCATGCTTTGTAAAACTGGTTGATCACTAGCTTTTTGGAATGTACTAATAAGAGCTGATGCAGGTTTGAAGGAAACCATATTAACACTAAATAGGCATTTGACTTATCTTTTATTTGATACTATGGATTTTGTAGGTCAGGTAAAGAAAAAACAAATATTACTTCATATATTTCTAAGGGCATTGTTAGATTTCAGATCGTACTGTTTATACCACAAAGAATTCTGATAAGTTAGTCCTGAAAATGCATTAAAACAAGTATTGAAATTGTTTTTAATGCTAAGACTTCAGTAACGGCCAAAAAATTACAAATTACTGTGTTGAAACCAGGAGAGAAGAATACAGAGTTTTTGTTTCATCCAGTAATGTACTGACCATCATTTTGTGGTCAGTTTCTAACCCCTGTTTTTGTAAACTCGGACCTGCTGTCGCTGATTTGATTGATTTTTGTGGAACTTAGGATTTAAATCAAGCATTTCTATTGCATTTTAGAAATTTGCATTGAAACTGTGGGAAGCCTTACAAAAACAGCATTCTCTTGATATCATCAGGAATGTAGTTTATTACAACTTTCTAAAATACTGCCCTTATTTCCAAATACAGCTTCTTCCATTTTTAACAGAACAAATCTGTATTCTACTTATACCTTGTATTGTCTTCCTTAAGCCTTGGTCTCTCTTAGATCCTGAACAAACTGCAGAGATGTATCCGATTTCTGTAGACAGTGCAGTTGCCACACTTCCTTTGAGTTCTGACATTGAAATTAGCAAACAACACTAAACACCAGTATCCATTGCCAAATGTTATATTATTGTGACCCAGCAGTTCTTGGTGTGTTGTGCTCACAATTAGGAAAAAATACATTTTCAAGTTTAGAACTTGCTTGTCAGCTGTGAACCTAAATGTTAAACCCCAGTTTGTGTCTGAATATGTATTGTGTATAGATTGCTTTGGATATAAGAACTCCAGAAAGTTCCTGAAGAACTTGGAAAACCTCTTTCAGATTTCCCGTCACATACTGTATTCTGGGTGTTGTTATCGTTTACGGTAAATGCAGACCTTTTCTTTCTCAAATGAAGCCTTGCATCCAAAGAATGGCCCACATGGACTGAACCTGTTGGAGGGATTTCAATGCTGCAACATGCACATTATTGCCATCAAGTGTAATTCTTGTCAAGCTGATTGCATGGAAAGCCATGTTTATTTGGCACCTAGCAACGCTGTTTTGGATGAAATGTCCACACCATGGAGCAATTAGGAAAATTGACCTATAGGCCAGAATGCCTTAGAGCTTCAGACAGGCTACAGTAAACATTATTGTACAGTAATTCACACAGAAAATCTGAAGTGGAATCAACAAGTGTACGAAGTTCTCTAACTTTTTTTTTTTTTTTTTAGTTTAAGGGCATGAGAGTGATGGAGGAGATATGAAAAGATGGTTTTCAAAGGAAATTTTTTCCTAGAACTGCGTGCAGGAAAATTTACTGCCACAGTACAGATTAACAGTATACACACACACATACTGTATACAAAAAAACAAGATTAGCAAGATTAGATTAATTGCAGGAAATAGCTTGGAGACCCTATTTGCAAAGCAATATCTCGCTTTCTCATGTGTATCAGTTTAAAGAGTGATTTTTTTTAAATGTAGCTCATGGTGCTGCACTGAGAATGAGAAACAGGTCTTCTGTAGGAGTCGGCCTATTGGGTAAGCATGATGTTAGCACATGTAGGGAGGCAATTAAAGATAATGTCACATTTCACACACCGTTACCTACATTTTGTGTGAGAAATACTGCAACTTGAACAAGTGCAGTAATAAGGCCCAGAATGGGGTTTGCATGTTAGAACTTTAGTTCCTAAGCGCTGTCCTGTTCTTCCCCCTTCGGCGAACCATAGCGTGGCATGTTTCTTTGTGTTCCAGATCAAAATCCAGATACCGTCTCATCATCCAAGCCTTGCACTTCTCTCCCTGCGGCATTAGGTTTTCTTTCTTTTCCCTCAAATTCCCTCACACTCGCTACCCACCAACCCACCCCCCTCCATGCACACGTCCATCTCCCCACACACACCTCGTTATCTTATTTGTGGCCTTGGCAGCCAAATTGTTGCCTTGTGGTCCAGTAGCCAAAGTTTTTGCTGTCCCAGAGAGAGCCGTGGGTGCATAACCTCCAACACACAAGCAAACGGTTCCCAGGGTGCTTTGCCCTTTCCAATGAAACCTGGGATGGATTACCCTTGGGCAGTGGGACTTTTCCAACTTGAAAAAGGTTTATGCAATGCACCACACTTAAATCTTCCTTGTCTGTTTCTGTAGAACTCAAATCTGTGAGGCTTAACAGTCATTTCTTTAAATCTAAAGTTTTCTTCTCAGAGGGGAGGCAAACTAAGACCCAATGTAGTCGGTATGATACATCACAATTTGCTGGTAGTTCCTAAAAAAATCCAAAATTAGGCTAATTAAATAATTGGAACCACCAATTTTATCTGCATAAAGTAATAATTGATACAGTTTTATTAACAGGAAATTATTCTTTTAAACTTTTCCAGAGACCTACAAAGAAAAGATTAAACTTACCGGTAATATATAACTAAAGGGAAACTGGAACTCTTCTGTTTTTAAACTGGGTGCCGATATTTGTCTAAGCAGGACCCTAAAAAAAGTATAGAAGTATGTGTATCATGCTGTATGAGGTTAGGCATACATTTATGAACTTGTTTTGCTACAGATTTTCAGTAGATTTTTTATTTTTTCTTGACATTTCTATTAAGTACATTTGATGATCTCTACTCGACAGTCTAGGGGCAGTAAGGGCCTATGGTTAGAGCATAGAGCCTGCAATCCTGAATTTGTGAGTTCAAAACCCTCCATGTCTCTGAGCAAGACCCGTAACCCGCGGGTGCTGCACAGTTGCAGCCCACTGCTACCCAAAGGGAATGACTTAAATGCAGAAAGTTAATTTCTCCATTGTGAGATCAATTTATTTGTTTTTATTGAGGTCATTATCTTTAAAGCTTTATTTCTATGTTTCTTTTAACAGTAAAAATGCCCTGCATCTTCCCCATAGGTTTGACATCCTTCCCTCTCCATGCATCATTTTGCAAAATATTCCCACAACATGATGCTTTTGCTGTAAAGTTTCAAATTGGTTCCGGATGTTGTGCGGCAGCCAGGTCTCCATTGTTACAATGATACAACTATCTGTCTGGTAGTTCACATCTCATAATTACATTTAGCCAATCTTCCTAACCAAGAAGTGGACACTGGCAAGAATAACTCTTGAAACTGCTCATTTATAGCGAGAGACGAGCCAGTACTAGAGCTTAGCTCTAATACTGGCTCGTTTGCCCTACTTCTGGCATTTTATAAAATACATTAATTTTCTCCTTTCTGTACACCGTATCCTTCCTGGGAACTAGACAAAGCTTGTTTTGGGTTATAGCCCTTCTCAGTGCATAAAGAGAGCTAAAGGCTGCTGTGTCTAATTAATCTTGTTTTTATTTTTCTTTTATTTTACACAGGTAATTCAGGAAAGCACCGATCCAAAGAGCCAAAAAAGAATAAGAATAAGCAGAGGCTGCGGTTTCGGGCCCAGAACCAGCACACTGACCACTTGGCCTCTGCGCTCTCCAGCCAGTAAGGACAAAAAACTCCCAGTGAACACAGAAACCATCGCAAAGCTGCTAACCGCTGCTTCACCCATACTCCAGCTGACAACTACCACTTCCCCATCCGCCTCGCCACTTGCTTCCCAACCCTCCTCAAGCCTCCTCCGCCCTTCCCGCCAGGACACAATTCAACCATCTCCCTCCAGCACCAAACCCGCCACCCTGCCAAAAAAAATGATGTGCCGTATATGTCTGATATCATTACCAGTACATGCTCTGCCTCCCACAGCTTCCCCCTTTTGTTCCAGTGACCAGTTGAGGACTCAGCTGCTCCCAGCAACATCCCTTGCCTTGTGGACCTTCACACTTGACATAATTGAACTCATTTTACGTCATTAACGACTCCATGAACTAAACAGGGTGACAGAAGGTGAAGGGGAACCTGGAGGTACCGTGGAAGCAGGAGAGACTGGAAGAGGGAGGCAGAAAGTGGGAGTCAGGGAGTTGGCAAGCTGAACTGTAAAAGAGGGAAGAATGTGACAAATCCTCTAGGATGAAGAAGAGAAGGTTCAGTTGAAGCAAATGATGCTAATGGACAGTAAAAAAAAAAGGCATCTAGAAATAAGAGACTGTTTTTTGTTCATATATTTATGTCAAAGCTACCCTCGCCTTCCCTTTCTCCAAATGGAAACAGAGTTTTTTCCATCTGTGGCCTTTATGTTATGTATATTTTCCAGAGTAATATTAAAAGAAGATCCCTGCATAATTGCAAAATATTTTATTCTCAGCACAAACTGTTTACGTTCAGACCGCTATATGCTGTATCTGTATAATGTCAGTCACTTAAAAAAAACCAAGAAATTTAGTTCAACTAGCATGGCGACAGACTTGTACATAGTTGATCTAATTATAAAACCTTATTACTGTATTTTCAGTATTGAGTCATTCAGCATTCTAAATGTTTTAGAAATAAAAAAGTGGTTGTAATACAAGCTACAGATTAAAATAATGAAAAATATAATAAACTTAGCCACCTCATAGCTATTTCCTTCATATGGTATATATTTGATTTATTTATTAATTAAGTTTTGTACTTTTTTTTGTTAAGTGAAAAGTTTTGCCTCTGAGATATTCTTTCCTTATATCATTGCATATCTCTAACATGCAGCAAAGATTTTGTCTGTCATACAAGTGTTGTAGGCTGTTACATTCGTTTGACCTCATCTACTGATTTTGATGCTTTATAAAAGGAGAAAAAAATGAAACTCTGCTTTGTTGTATTCTAGGTTGAATAATTAGGCTCCAGCTAATGTATGGTCATAGGACTGCATATGTGTACATTGTGTTTTATTAAAACTGTGTTTCATGTGACTGTATGATAAGGCCTTTCATTAGAGTCTGTGGCTATAATATATGTGGCTAAACTCTGAAGCTCTTGTATTGTTGTCTCTAACTTCTGACTACAGTTACAGTAGGGGAAAGAAGTATTGAACATTTTCCTAGCTACACTGATATCAACCCGAAAATTCCTGACATCTTTTAGCCACAGAAGCTGATTACATCCTAAATAATTGCCGATATAAAGGTTTCTCACTACCAAGTATCACACAACACTAATTAAAATACTCCAGTGTTGAGATATTCAAATAATTTTGTGCAAATCCATTCAATGCAATTAGTTGGATATGCAGCAAAAAGGTTTTGGGTCTCTTGCCTTTGCACACATGAAGTTTATTTTATTCAATCTTATCAGAAAAAGCTTTAATATGGCTTTGGTTCACTATTTCTAGTTGCATTGCCTTCAGCTCTCAACAAGCTTTGGAAAAGAATGCTCAATATTGTACTATTAAGGGGAAATTCATGTTTGTCAATGTTGCAGCAAATACTGAAAAAAATGCAACTGCATTTACTTAATCATATTTAGTTATTTTAACACAATTGTTTCATGTTAGCAGGGTAGAACATAAAAAAATGTGTGTTAAAGTAACTAAATATGATTAAGTAAATGCCAAAAGTGGTTGCATTAAGGAAGCGGTTATGGACATTTTTCACAGTTCCTGCCGGAGGAGAGAATCACCAGGTTTTCATCCTCTGATATAAGCCTTGCAATCTGCTGTGCTTGACGTCAGTAACCATGGCTAGACACACCTGGATTAATCAGTTCATCCAGTAATGAAAGACAGGAAACAAAAGAGCTGCCTTAAAGGTATAGTGGAGAATGTTTGCTAATTTTTGAAAAGACCCGCCCTCTCCATTTAAAAGAAAATGCAAATGCATTTCCCTGTACCCTCTCCCGAGAGCGAACTCCTATTAAACGTGTGCATGAGCTCATTTCTTCTGGTGCACACTCATTTTAAAGGGTTCCTGTTTGCAACGCTCATACAAGTTTACTTTCCAAAAGAAAATTTGCAATTTTTTCACTATGTCAGACTCACCACCGGTAAGTGAAAACGGGGACAAGCGCGTAGGATTGCCTAACGTAAACATATCACCAGAATGATTGACAGTTAGGAGGACCACTTTTTTTGATGGTTCACCCAGAAAAAGAACATCCTACACTATACCTTTAAACTCAGGAAGTAGTGGAGTTTTGCATAGAACCCATTAAGTTCTAAGAGAGTCTAGACTGTTTAGATGGGACCAAAATGTTACTATTCAATTCCCATTGGACTCTGTATAGAATAAAGAAATGTTTTTGCCACAATCCAATCCAAAGAATTTCACACATTATGGTGTGGACCGTTTTTTTACAGCAGTGTAAAAAAAAGTTTTTCACCCTCCTAATTTCTTTTGTTTTGACATGTTTGTGACGCTTACCTTTTTCATATGATTAAACAAATATAGATTTCAGTTAAAAAAACAACACAGGTAAACTTAAATTGCTGTTTCAAATTCTGAAATGTATGGCCCTCATGCTCAAACATTACCTAATTCTGCTCTATTGCACTTGAATTCACTTTCTCTAGCCATTCATGATTACTGTCAAACTTGATCTTAATTAAGAAATTACTTAAAGTAAAGTGAGCAACTGTACAAAACAAAATCCTTAAAAGTTGTTAAATTATTCTGGTATCAAAAGGCATTCAGGAACAAATGATAGGATGAGTAAATAAGATCTATCAGTCTGGGAAAAGTCATGGGGCAATTCCTAAGACTTTGGGACGACCAAAGTAAGCGCCAAAATTTATGAAAACATGGAACAGTGGTGCAGCTTAAGTGGTTGGCCAATCAAATTTACCTAAAAAAGAGATAACAAATACCTTTACACAACATCTCAGGACTGTAGTCATTGCTTGCCTCACTAAAATTCAAAGTTCATGTCTGCATAAGACCGGGCAAAAATGGTCTTCAGGGCAGAGATCCCAGATTTGATCAGCAGCTGTGCAAAAAATAATTTTCAGGATCTTCTGAATTATGATCCCTAGATTTTTGAAAATGTATTCTGTGGACCTAACAAAAGAAATTTTTTTTAAGTTTTTAGAAGGTGTATGTTGCATTGCAATCTGATGTAAAATACACTGCATTTGTCAGGATCAGAACAGTAGAATCCAGTATTGGAGGCGTACAAACAGATTTCTCAAAAGAATTATTGGAAACGAAACTGCAGTGAACAATGTTGGAGTATAAGGCAGGAACCTCTGGTTTTATAGTTCAGTCCAAGCCCAGATGGTGAGGATGTTTCCAGCTGGTCAGCTGCCAACAAGATGCGGTGGCCGCCACCCAGAGACTCCCAGACACTGATGTATCGGAGGTCGGGGGACAGTCAGGGGCTCAAAACCAAGTAGAGGAAGGAAGGAAGGATAATCCATAGGATGAAGCCAAAGCCGATGTCAATGACATGCTTGGTAGTCAGAGCCAGGAGATCAGAGGTGGTAGAGGTGCCGAGGAGAGGGACAGGCAGAGATCTGACAGGATACTGAAGACAGTACAACAGATCAGAATGGGGACAGGCAGGCTCAGAGGTCCAGAGGCAGAACAGATCGGCATCAAGCAATAAGAAACAAAATTATTGGGCACTGATGACTGGTCTGAAGGCTGGTTAAATAAAGACTAAAGCAGGTGGATCAGATGAGCGGTAATGAGTAGTAGGCAGAGATAAGCAGGTGACTGAAATGAATAATCAGACCAGACATAAGCACCAAAATCATGACAGCAAATGAGAAAAATATGTATATATATATCTGCATCACGTCAACAGTAAAATATGCTGATGATAATCTGATGGATGAACCAAATGAACACTTTGGAGTGGCCAAGTCAAATTCCTGACCTGAATTCTATTAAGATACTTTGGTATGACCTCAAAGAGGCTGTTCATGCTCCCAAAAGTCTCCTATAGCTGAATTACCACAATGCTGAAAGAGACATGAAGGCCAAAATTGTTCCACCTCACTATAAAAGATTCATTACAAGTTAGTGTAAATGCTTAATTTTGCTGCTATTTACTCCTTACCTGGGGTGACATTGGCACCGGATGCAGGAGTTTACCTGGAAACCAGGAGGTAGTCGGTTCAAACTCCAGCTTTCTATTTCATTGTATCCTTGGACAAGACACTTCACCTGCTTTGTCTAAAACTGTGAGAGGGCCTGGTGGTGCTTGTGTCCTTCTGCCTTGCTTCTAAGAGTGAGCCCCTTGGGAACTGTGGCCGCAATGTAGATTTCCACCATAAATGGGTAAATGGTTTTAAAGGGCTATGGAATCATCTGTGTCTCTGATTAAATCTTTTTCAACATCATGCACTTCAATATGTCTGCTTAAAATTGTATTTAAATTATTCTGAAACACTTATGTGTAAAAATGCTAATTAAGAATCTGGAAGTCTTAGTTGGTAAACAATAAAATAAGAAACAAGAAACAAACACAGCCTCTAGACTGGATGTCAGTTATTCAATTTAGGTCAAGTTGATGGGAAGATCACAGTGCATGTAGAGGTTCCCATCAGGTGTCATAAAACCATGAGGTTTATGACAGCTTATGTTGAGGAATGGGTCAAGATCACACCTGTGAAAATTGGAAGAACAGCCGATTTGCTGATACTGATATTTGTTTTACAGCAACATCGAATCCTTCCATCTGTATTTTACAGTGGCATAATGTTTGGAATGTAGAGTCAGTTCTACTAATTTTGTTTTGAATAATTTCTGTGATGAGAGTAGACAGAGTTAACAGAGATAGACCTCTCTGATTTCTCTGCTTGGGATCCCAAAGAGACAGAAATGTTGAGAAAGTCTGAGAATTTTATTTCCGCTTTTCGACATCATCTCTGAAACTTAAAAGGAGGCTAAATCGAGCTTTTGTACATCTTTTTGCTCCAGGAAAAAAAAAAAGAAAAGAAATAAACCTTAGTCTCATTTTGGTGTCACGCATATCTAATATTTGTCTAGGAGAAGTACATGTAACATTATGGAGATCTCATTTCAGATTTTCCTTTCCTCTGGGAAGGCTTGGATTTGGTTGATTGGGCACCAGCAGCCCGATGGCATCGTTAACAATGACGCACTCGCTTGAGCGCCTGCCTGTGGTAGCTCATCCATCAAAGCTATCATGCTGTAATGCCTAACATGCATATGGGTGTGGAACTTGTCTTTCGTCACACAATACCTAATCAATCATCCTCTTATTAGAAGCCCACTTATTCAGTTTTTAAGCCCCTCTTTGCAAAGTCTGGTTTCACCACAAGGAGAAAAAGTTTTAATGGAAGCTATGGCTAATTTAGCCTAAGCTCAGCTCTGTATAATCATTGTCCTCAAAAAGGGAAAAATCCATATTGACCTGATAGCTTATAGATGTGCAGTGGCAGATGAATTCCACACTGGGAACATCAGACTAAAATCTTTTTGCTCTAGTTTAACCCTGAACCCCCTTAAGTAACAGATGAAATTTCCATAGGGCACATGTCAGTCTGGAAATCTCCCATGTCCATTTAGAGTGCTAACATTTTCCCCAGGTGGCTTTGCAATTCATTTCCAGAACTTCACACTTTAACCAAAAGACATTTTGGCAACAGAGTTAAAAGCTGACAAATGGTCGTGAAATGAGAAAAAACCCTGAGTGAACTGGAACCAAAATTCCCTGCCAAAAAATGCTAATTTTATTTACAACTGAAGCATAATAAACGTGTCTCTTAAGAATTGAATATTTCTCAACACGCAAGGCTTTTTAGGCCACACAGAGTAGAAAAGTGTCCCTTGGAGCACATAAGACAAAAAGACTAATAAACTGCATAAAAGAATAAATGTGAAATGCATGTATTGGAAGGTAGAATTTTGTTATCACACAACATAGAACTGAAGAGGCAATCCAGAATAAAAACATCCCCAAACCAAATTAAATATATTTTACAACATTAATTCTATTTTACTCACTGGTAAAAATAGTCAGTGTGTAATAAACTCACAAGGTAGGACCCGATATGCAAGGTGAGACAGAC